TAAAGGGAACAGGAATAGAGAATAAAATAGCATTTTAATGCTTAGGGGAATAGAGAATAGAATATTTGCTATAAAGCAAAGTGAATATAAGGTAGGAGAGAATGTTCTTTGTGAGGTGGTGGAGAAAGATGAATACAAGATAGAATACAGTTAAAGGGAGAGGGATAGAGGGTAGAATAAAAACCATGTAAAAGGAAAGAGGAAGATAGGGTAGACTGCTCTATGTAAAGTAAGTCACATTAAATAGGCCTCAGTCGTATGGGGAGAGAATGGGTGTTAGAGGTTAGAGGAGGGTGACATATGTCTGACTTGTATGGGGAGAGAATGTTTTTTAGAGGGAAAGGGAAGGTGACATAGGACTCACTCGTATGGGGAGAGAATGGGTGTTAGAGGTCAAAGGAAGGTGACAAAGGTCTCACTCGTATGGAGAGAAATCGATGTTAGAGTTCAATAACTGGTAATGTATTCATAGTCATATGATTTATTACATTCATGGCCTAACAAATTAGCACTATTCATAAAACGTCTTACAACATATGCTGCAGCTATTCCATAGTTAAAGAGTTACAATGATCGTCGATATAGTTCACTGATGTCTGTATTTAAATGTTTGTGTACGATGTAGACAATTGTGTGTCAGATAGAGCCTTTTAAAAATACTTCTCCCATCGCCTTTCCTCATATTTAGATATATCTTTATTCATAAATGATTTTAAAATTTGATTTGGAGAGGAAAAACCCACTTGGAACAAACGTGAAACAAATATTATTTGTTCAAATTAAATTGCCTTCTCGAACATATCAGTTGTAACTGCGCTGAATTTCAGATCCATCAAATTTTACTGAGCCGAATTTCAGATCCATCAAATGTTACTGAGCTGAATTTCAGATCCATCAAATGTTACTGAGCCGAATTTCAGATCCATTAAATGTTACTGAGCTGGATTTCAGATTTCAGATCATAATTGATAAGTTTAGCTCCCAAGATATAACTGAATATAAAGTGTATATACTTGGTCTTTCCATTACACAGCCAAGAGCACTAGTTTGTATTTATGTGTTTTGCCATAAAATAACCATAGACCATATTAACTTATTGTAGCATCAACCGATGAATTTGATTAAATCGTAAAACAATTGTGTCAGAATAAGTAAGTTTAAGATAATACATTTCTTTAAATGTAATTTGTCCCAACATTTCAGGGGAAAAAGGACGACCCGAAGTATGACTAGCTCCCATATTCATTTTCATAATAGATGTACCCTACCAAGAGGTTTCACTCATACAAAGAGTGAATCTTCTGTTTCATCATCAGTAGAATCATTAGCAAATAGAACTACTCGTATAGGGAGACGATGGGTGTTAGAGTTTAAAGCAAGGTGTTGGTGGCCTCACTGGTGTGGAAACACAAGGAGTTCAAAAGAAGACGACAGAAAAGTATCGCGTGTGAGGACAAGAAGTGTTAACACTGTAGAGGTATCTTTCCTAATGAGAGACATGGAGAGGTCAAAGGAAAGTAAAACACCTCGCCGGAGAAATAAGGTCGTCCCTACTAATGTTTGATCAGTGTAGGATTGTTGACATATCTAAACTGTTGGAGAAACCATTTTATTATGATATCAAACAATCGGTCTATGCATGTTATCAGCGGTTTTCGAGATTTCCCATACAAGACATTTTGGTAAATCTATTGACAGCTTTAATTTTAAGTCGTAATTGACTGCCAGGCAGTTATTCACAATAATGTAGGCCATTTTTATCGATTTATATTCTACGTGTTCAGTTAACGCCGACCCTTTTGTACCGAGACTGTGTCGGTCGTCAACAGATGTTAGAATTTTATCCTTTCGATTGTCTGTCAGTTTACTTGCTCGAACAACATTACACGTGACCACCTTTGATATTTACACACTTGTATGCTCGTTTTGTGTGAGTTTCTTGTCATGCATCACTGTTATTTTTAAATTTTCTTGTTGGAAAAATCTTCAATAAATCTTTACAGTGTGTTCTACTCAGCACTGTTAAGACAAGAAACAAAGTGCAGTAATGATGGTATTAAGTTTAGACAGTAAATAGAAGAAGTCTTGCAGTCTGAAATACGGACAGCGAGCGGACGACGGACACCTCGTTACAGTCGTATCTTGCGCTAGTAAATACATAGGTCAGACGAATTAAAAGAGAAGCAGACGAAGGCATCTTGGTGTTTTTCATGTCAGAAGTTTAGGTGCAATGTAGCTTCATCTGGCAGCGCTGGCCATTGGGGTCGTGAGTATGGCCATTAAACACTGAAATCGATGAGTTCATCAAGATGATGTTTTAACTATCAGGAATACACAGGTAAATAAACTTGCACATCGGACATGCGCAATTAAAGTAACACAATAATGTCCTACTTTGTAGAACATGTACTTAAAACAGAGAACCATTACACTGTTACTAGTTGGAAGTGTACTGTCGATATGAAAGATAATTAAAATATCACCCGTTAGGACGACATGGATTTTTGTATATAGTTGTTATAGTAGAAATATGATCACGTGAATTCGAAGAAAGTATAGATAATGTTGATATAAATATGTCTTCTTCAGTTATATTACAGTGATTGTGTCCGTGGGCAAGACATCATGCCCTATTTTACTAAATAACATGCACTTAAAATGAACTGGTGGGATACAGGTCAGTGTTGTCAAAATGCGCTGAATTTGCCTAAGCATATGTAAGTAGATTTCCCAATGGCGTCTGATGGACAATGCATCTTACCTGTACTAACCACAGAATGATAAGCTTATAAACAAAACAATGAAGAAGAAGAAGGAGAAAAAAAAAAAGAATAATAACAGATAAATAAAGAAATAACCGAGGCATTAAAATGAACTCGAGTGACTTGATATTCACACATGGTGAACTATGTCTTGGTTATAACTTAGCCGCTACGTGGAAATGTCGTTTGTATTTTATTATTAATACATTTCGTTAATTACATATGTAACCCTTATTTCGAAGTTATCAAATGTAATTTGATAAGTGATTAAACAGTGATTGTATGTTAATATGTGTGTTCGTTAAACAGTGATTGTGTGTTATGTGTGCTCGTTAAACAGTGATTGCGTGTTATGTGTGTTCGTTAAACAGTGATTGTGTGTTATGTGTGCTCGTTAAACAGTGATTGCGTGTTATGTGTGCTCGTTAAACAGTGATTGTGTGTTATGTGTGCTCGTTAAACAGTGATTGTGTGTTATGTGTGTTCGTTAAACAGTGATTGTGTGTTATGTGTGCTCGTTAAACAGTGATTGCGTGTTATGTGTGCTCGTTAAACAGTGATTGTGTGTTATGTGTGCTCGTTAAACAGTGATTGCGTGTTATGTGTGCTCGTTAAACAGTGATTGTGTGTTATGTGTGCTCGTTAAACAGTGATTGTGTGTTATGTGTGCTCGTTAAACAGTGATTGTGTGTTATGTGTGCTCGTTAAACAGTGATTGTGTGTTATGTGTGCTCGTTAAACAGTGATTGCGTGTTATGTGTGCTCGTTAAACAGTGATTGTGTGTTATGTGTGCTCGTTAAACACTGATTGTGTGTTATGTGTGCTCGTTAAACAGTGATTGTGTGTTATGTGTGCTCGTTAAACAGTGATTGTGTGTTATGTGTGCTCGTTAAACAGTGATTGTGTGTTATGTGTGCTCGTTAAACAGTGATTGTGTGTTATGTGTGCTCGTTAAACAGTGATTGCGTGTTATGTGTGCTCGTTAAACAGTGATTGTATGTTAATATGTGTGTTCGTTAAACAGTGATTGTGTGTTATGTGCGCTCGTTAAGCAGTGATTGTGTGTTATGTGTGCTCGTTAAACAGTGATTGTGTGTTATGTGTGCTCGTTAAACAGTGATTGCGTGTTATGTGTGCTCGTTAAACAGTGATTGTGTGTTATGTGTGCTCGTTAAACACTGATTGTGTGTTATGTGTGCTCGTTAAACAGTGATTGTGTGTTATGTGTGCTCGTTAAACACTGATTGTGTGTTATGTGTGCTCGTTAAACAGTGATTGTGTGTTATGTGTGCTCGTTAAACAGTGATTGTGTGTTATGTGTGCTCGTTAAACAGTGATTGTGTGTTATGTGTGCTCGTTAAACAGTGATTGTGTGTTATGTGTGCTCGTTAAACAGTGATTGTGTGTTATGTGTGCTCGTTAAACAGTGATTGTGTGTTATGTGTGCTCGTTAAACAGTGATTGTGTGTTATGTGTGCTCGTTAAACAGTGATTGCGTGTTATGTGTGTTCGTTAAACAGTGATTGCGTGTTATGTGTGTTCGTTAAACAGTGATTGTGTGTTATGTGTGCTCGTTAAACAGTGATTGTGTGTTATGTGTGCTCGTTAAACAGTGATTGCGTGTTATGTGTGCTCGTTAAACAGTGATTGTATGTTAATATGTGTGTTCGTTTAACAGTGATTGTGTGTTATGTGTGCTCGTTAAACAGTGATTGTGTGTTATGTGTGCTCGTTAAACAGTGATTGTGTGTTATGTGTGCTCGTTAAACAGTGATTGTGTGTTATGTGTGCTCGTTAATCAGTGATTGTGTGTTATGTGTGCTCGTTAAACAGTGATTGTGTGTTATGTGTGCTCGTTAAACAGTGATTGTGTGTTATGTGTGCTCGTTAATCAGTGATTGTGTGTTATGTGTGCTCGTTAAACAGTGATTGTGTGTTATGTGTGCTCGTTAATCAGTGATTGTGTGTTATGTGTGCTCGTTAAACAGTGATTGTGTGTTATGTGTGCTCGTTAAACAGTGATTGTATGTTAATATGTGTGTTCGTTAAAACGTGACTGTGCTTAACTGTTTTCTCCATTTAGAGTGATTGTGCGTCAATGTATGTTCTGGATAAACGGTGAGTGTTCGCTAATCTATGTTCTGGATGTAGAGTGAGTGTTCGTTGATCTATGCTCTGGATAAAGGATGATTAAGGATGATTGCTCGCTAATTTATGCTCTGTTTTGTTTGTTCCAGCATGGCTTGGGAGTGTCGGTGTCAGCATCACGTTGTTCCTTTCGCCTGTCATTGCTACGATCTGTCAACGAAAAAGCCCAAGACTGTACGCCGTCATTGGGGGCCTTATCTGTTCCCTTGGGTGCTTGTTTTTAGCCTTCTCAACAGAAATGGATCAGTTGTTTATCAGTCATTGTGTCGTGCTTTCATTGGGAAGTGGTATTACTCTTACTTCTGCCAATATCATTGTTGGACGTTACTTCCGTCGGAAACGACAGATAGCGGAAATGATAATGATTTCCGGTACAGGTCTCGGTGCCGCTGTGATGTCTGTGTTGTTTAGGAACCTGTACAAGTAAGTATGTTTTTATCTCCTTCCTATAACGTTCCTTCTCAGTTTTTTTCTTGTTCTCGTTCCTTTCATTTTAAATTTTGTGCTCTTGTAAGATGGCACAGATAAGAGTTCATAACAATCATTATGTTGTTACCATCAACTTTTACGTTGGTGATCGATAAGAAATAATTGTATAGAAATCAGTGCTGTGCTAAATATTTAAATATCTTCAATGTGATCTAGGATATGATGAAACATGTTTAATAAACAATAATTTCAAGGACACTGTCATAAAATTATAGTCGAACACCTGCTTGATTTGTCTGTTACTAGAGCGTACTAATGTACGACGTTGTGTGGAAACAATTTGTTGCTCTGTTATAGACATGTATCAACACACCTGTTGAAGAGACCTATAAGGCTGACTTATTAAATAAAATATTTTTAATATTATCTTAGGTTATCACCTTTGAAACATATTGAAATAATCTTTTTATTTGAAAAGACATCGGACATACACGATACCTTTCTTTTCATGACATTTTTAAAAATGCTGTAAAAAGAGTACTGAACATCATATCCAAATAACGTTCCCCGTGTGTTTCCAAAAGGTATAATTCAGTAGATCAGATAGCTAAAACCTTCATGACATAGGCTAGAGATCAAATAGCTAAAACCTACCATGACATTGGCTAGAGGTCAAATAGCTAAAACCTACAATGACATAGGCTAGAGGTCAAAAAGCTAAAACCTACAATGACATAGGCTAGAGGTCAGCTAGCTAAAACCTACAATGACATAGGGTAGAGGTCAAATAGCTAAAACCTACATGCCATTGGCTAGAGGTCAGATAGATAAACCTACAATGAAATAGGCTAGAGGTCAGATTGCTAAAACCTACAATGACATAGGCTAGAGGTCAAATAGCTAAAACCTACAATGACATTTGCTAGAGGTCAAATAGCTAAAACCTACAATGACATAGGCTAGTGGTCAGCTAGCTAAAACCTACAATGACATAGGCTAGAGGTCAGCTAGCTAAAACCTACATTGACATAGGCTAGAGGTCAGATAGCTAAAACCTACAATGACATAGGCTAGAGGTCAGATAGCTAAAACCTACAATGACTTAGGCTAGAGGTCAGATAGCTTAAACCTGCAATGACATAGGCTAAAGGTTGATATCTGAAACCTACATGACATAGGCTAGAAGTCAAGTAGCTAAAACCTACAATGACATAGGCTAGAGGTCAGATAGCTTAAACCTACAATGACATAGGCTAGAGGTCAGCTAGCTAAAACCTACAATGACATAGGTTAGAGGTCAGATAGATAACCCTACAATGATATAGGCTAGAGGTCAGATAGCTAAAACCTACAATGACATAGGCTAGAAGTCAGATTGCTAAAACCTACAATGACATAGGCTAGAGGTCAGATAGATTAAACCTACAATGACATAGGCTAGAGGTCAGATAGCTTAAACCTACAATGACATAGGCTAGAGGTCAGATAGCTTAAACCTACAATGACATACGCTAGAGGTCAGATAACTAAAACCTACAATGACATAGGCTAGAGGTCAGATAACTAAAACCTACAATGACATAGGCTAGAGGTAGAGTATTGAAAGTAACAAAACAAAGTAAATTGTCTGAAATCTGGGGTCACAGTGTTATGCTCTAAAGCCATGTGTTGAGTAATTAAATGTAAACATTCGCTCTTTGTTCAATGTAATGTTGATGTATTTTGTGTGTTTATATTTACATGGAGGACAGTACATTGGTATTTAATGTCTTGTCTATGTTCTGTATCAGTCACAGGGAGGTATGTAACGTTCCAGTTCCGCTCTAGTTTTGTACTTTCTTTCTCGTGTAACAACCGTGTTGAGAGAATCAAAGAAATCACCAAAATACCGCGTGCCGATTATGAAACTTTCTGTCACACGCGATATTCACCGTGAAAACCGTTCACCATGTCCTTGTGAATTATTGTTCCAATATGTCACCAATCGCGCCATTACCCCCATAGATGTTAATGTACAAGCGTTACAACATGGTTGTGATGTCATCTGTTGTTTTTTCGTACTTTAACCAAGCCTGTAACCTAAACTGTTCTATATATTACATGTAACTGTTCTTTATGCTACCTGTAACAGTTCTGTATGTTACATGTAACTTTTCTATATGTTACCTGTAACTGTTCTATTTCTTACCTATAATTGTTCTATATGTTACCTGCAACTGTCCTATATGTTACCTGTAACTGTTCTATATGTTACCTGTAACTGTTCTATATGTTACATTAACTGTTCTATATGTTACCTGTAACTGTCCTATATGTTACCTGTAACTGTTCTATATGTTACCTGTAACTGTCCTATATGTTACCTGTAACTGTCCTATATGTTACCTGTAACTATTCTATATGTTACCTGTAACTGTTCTATATGTTACATTAACTGTTCTATATGTTACCTGTAACTGTTCTATATGTTACCTGTAACTGTCCTATATGTTACATTAACTGTTCTATATGTTACCTGTAACTGTCCTATATGTTACCTGTAACTGTTCTATATGTTACCTGTAACTGTTCTATATGTTGCCGTAACTGTTCTATATGTTACCTATAACTGTTCTATATGTTATTTGTAACTGTTCTATATGTTACCTTTAACTGTTCTGTATGTTACCTGTAATTGTTCTATATGTTACCTGTAACTGTTCTATTTCTTACCTGTAATTGTTCTACATATTACCTGTAACTGTTCTATATGTTACCTATAACTGTTCTATATGTTACCTATAACTGTTCTATATGTTATTTGTAACTGTTCTATATGTTACCTTTAACTGTTCTGTATGTTACCTGTAATTGTTCTATATGTTACCTGTAACTGTTCTATTTCTTACCTGTAATTGTTCTACATATTACCTGTAACTGTTCTATATGTTACCTGTGACTCACTTATAGGACAGTCAGTTATAAGACAGATAAAGGCTTGGTCACTGTATTGTCTTCATCTGGATAAAAACAACAAAGTAAAACAAGTATACTAGTAGACTGTTATGTTTCAAAATAACGGGTTTAATGAAATCACACATTGTCAAAACGAAAACATGATTACTGTTTAATACAATTTATTCCAAGAACAGATGACCGGTTACATAATTTCCTAGAAAAATATATACTACTGGTATTCATGTTAAGCTCTATAGCGTTTGGGGAATTTCATTTTTTCCCACTGTTTTGAAGATGATGGGAACTACTTTCAGTAAACAGTAATCTCACGAAATCCATGCGAGTGTAGTGAAAGAGAGAGAGAGGCAGAAACTCTGGTTTATTAGAATATAACATTCTACTCTTAACTCTTGGTTTTGTAGACATTTCTGGATTTCACATGATTTTTAATTCACCTAAAAATGAAGAAATACTTCCCTTTTGTCACATTTTGACCACATCCTTACTTGTTCTTTCGTTACAAATATCTTTTTGTAAATATAAAACATCACATATTTGTATCATTCAAATCCATCATTTGAAAGATGAAGCCTGTGGAAGGAATGCCCTGCTGTCGGAGGACACCAGGAAATTGAATTAAAAGAAGTGAACTAAGAAGCTCTTTGTGTTTCACCATATCAATGTTTTCATCATGTGTAACACATCTCATGGTATCAGTGTGCTGTTACATTGGGCTGTGTTATGAGTGATAAATAACGTTGATTTGGTTTAACGCACGTAAGTAGAACCGTCGTATACATTTTAAAGAACAATGGTAAATTACACTTTAATGGATTTAAATCAGTTGTCTGAGACAAATTTTGTGGAATCAATTTTCAAATTTAGATAAAAATGTTCTATATTAATACAAAGGAGGTCCACCTTTAGTCACAAACTGTACAGTATGTTGGAGAGAATAAAGATGGGCCTCGATCTGCCCTCTCTCACAAACTGTACAGTATGTTGGAGAGAATAAAGATGGGCCTCGATCTGCCCTCTCTCACAAACTGTACAGTATGTTGGAGAGAATAAAGACGGGTCTCGATCTGCCCTCTCTCACAAACTGTACAGTATGTTGGAGAGAATAAGTATCTCGGGCATGATGGGCCTTGATCTGCCCTCTCACAAACTGTACAGTATGTGTGAGAGAATAAAGACGGGCCTCGATCTGCCCTCTCTCACAAACTGTACAGTATGTGTGAGAGAATAAAGATCTCGGGATTGACGGGCCTCGATCTGCCCTCGCCTACAAATTGTACAGTTGTCGTCTTATCGCCATAATTTACCGTCTTTGAAGAAAATATGTTGGGTAAGTATGTTTCCTAGCGTAAGGATTTTTTTGTTTTTGTTTTTGTAGCAGGATTCCAGCATTCATGTATAAATATAGAATATAAACAACACAGAATATAGAATTAATATTTTGATTACGAGTTTTTAATTTCAATAATATCATTCATGGGTTATGCTTACAACGTTAGTATGTACCTAATGTGAATGTCACCTGCATGGGCGGTTTCACTGGGCGATGATATTCTAAATATGGTCGCTTTCGTTAATTGGTAAGTGTACGGAGTATGCTATGTGGAACTTGTAGTTACCCATGACATACCCATACGATAGATATATATTAATACTGAGGGGTGACATTTTTTTCTGGCGTATTGGATACATACAAATCAGAAGTGACGAAGGGTACTTGAATATACACAAATACTGCCCCACAAGTACTATACGTGCCTACACACCGTACCGTCCCTACAGTCGTTTAACGTTTCGATAGTCGATGCAACTAAAATGTTCATTAAACAGTTATCTAACTACAATACTGACACTGTATACACACAGTTATCTAACACTCCAGTACTGCATACACACAGTTATCTAACACTCCAGTACTGTATACACACAGTTATCTAACACTCCAGTACTGTATACACACAGTTATCTAACACTCCAGTACTGTATACACACAGTTATCTAACACTCCAGTACTGTATACACACAGTTATCTAACAGTT